TGTTAGTCGTGATTTTAGTTCACTTGCATGCTATTTTCCCCTATTTAAATCTGTGGACTATACCATTAATATTACTTAAATTAAACCTGCATACTTTATTGGCCTATAGATACAAATTGGATACCTTAACTCCATAAATGATGCATTTTCTTTAATCAAAATAATTCAACCACATAAATGAGCACTAGAACCACAAATCATTCTATGCATGTCGCAAATACCATTTACTTGGAAAATTTAATATTAAGGCCTTATGCATGTGACTCCACTTTTAACGTATAGAAAATAAAAATCCAAATATTAGAACTTAAAGCTTAACATTATCAGGAATAGCGGGCCATTAAAGTTCGCACGCATTTCAGTTAAACAGCATAATAAGCATATCTAAGCAAGCAATCTTAAATTACTTGCATATAAATTCTTAAATTTAAAGGTTGGCATCAAGTAACTCATCTCAAGAATTTTATAGCTTGTCTCCTAACAAATTTTCTCATGAAGTAAAAACAAATTATAAAGGTATTACTCATTCATTTTTGTAACTTAGTCATAAGTATCTGCTCAATAAATAGGTAATCCTTCAAAGAAAAGCCGCTAAAGTAATAGTATTCCAACAAATATTATTTATCTAAATATCTGAAACCTGAATTATTATCACAAGAAGGAACGTCATTTTGGTGAAGCAGTTGGGGACGTAGTACAAAAGATGTGTGCATTTGTTATTGAACCTTGCTATATGTACACTATGGTCTATATTTTAATTTACACTTTGCCACGTAGTATTACCCTATTGAACAGTTTAAATTTCAAACAGCTTTTCCATTCAATTAACACTTGATAACAATGCAAGTGTCAATTAAAATATCAAAAATCAGTATACAAATAGCAAAGTTCCATGTTATTTGAACTATGCTTTAAAGACATGTTAAAGTTACAAATGGCATACAAACTGAAAGCTACAAGAAGCTTAAAGCCCCTCATCTTGCTCGTCTTTCGAAAGATTTAGCCTGCTGCCTCGTGTGCCCAGGGACTAAATCTCCTTTTCTAGTTTATTGATGAAGTGTACAATTACAATGAAATACAATTGAATGCTGCAGTGCTACACGACAAGATCAGGCTTGTCCGTCTGGCTTGCTAAGGAAGAGAGTAGTACACTGGTTGACTGTATCCTCTGGGCAAGTAACTGATAACAAATGAAAGAATCAGGTCATACTGTTCAGAAATTTCAATAAAAGCAGCTGAATACAAATGAAGGTTTCCCTATGGTTCATAGGCATATACATTTTGACATTTAACCTATAAATTTCTTCCTCCTTGCAGCAAATACCAATCCTAGTTTATACAAATTCCTTCGTCAAAGAAGTAAACAATGACTTCTATTTATCGTTATTGGTGACACATTCACGATGCCAGCATTTTGGTCATAACTATATAAATGCATCCAGAGCTACCTTCCAAAACACATTTCCATTTGATATTAGTTAACTAATAGAAAAAACAAATAAAGCTGACCTGTGTGACCCATGGTTCTCTCAGAATCGTATATCTCAAAGTCATTTCCTCCCTGTTCAGGGAAAAAGAAATAAGCAAAAGAATCCTTTAGTTGGCCCAGAGTCCAGCAAGTTCCAAAGAAGACAATAATTAATCAATTTTTCGGGAGAACTATAAGAAAGTTTCCAAGCATTGTGGATCAGTTAAAGAACCTTGTACGTCTTGTCTCCAAAGAAGTGGATTTCATGAAAATCACCAAGGTATCTCAAACAATATGTCTTATCCCAGCCACGAGGGAAAACCTGTCCCAAATGTTTTCCAAATGGAATTTCAATAAATTTAATTTGTTTCAATTTTAAAAATAAATAAATAAAAAATAAAACAATTAGAATAGGAAAGTACAAAATTACACACATCAAAACTGATTTGGCCTCCAATGGAAAAAGTTAGGTTAAAGTGTGCAAACTTTTCACGGAGAACTGACACCATTTTTGGGCGTATATTATGAACCTGGAGAAATTTAGTAGAATCCAAGCAAATCAGAAGACAATTATGAACACTGAAACTGATATTTTACATCGGTGCCCAAAGATTTGATACCTTGTCATACTTCTCAAATTCATCTCGCTCTTCCTGACTGCAGTTTCTTCCAATTGGTGATACATTGAGCATCCCACTTCGAAATTCAATAAATGTTCCCCTAAAAGAGAAAAAAATGTATCTAAGAACCAACATAAGTGAAGAACAGCTATCCAGTTCCTTGTTTTCCTCACCTTTTAATTGGGATATCCAAGTCAGCAATGTAGTGGAGTGTAAAATTAATCAATTCCTGCATCATCATTTATAATTCATTACATGATAATTGCTAAAACACGTAAAAAAGAGCATGTTAGACACAATGTATAAATTGCCTACCATCAATTAACCCAAATTTAGGGGGAAGGACAAACAAAACAATCACAAAACCCTCTGAGCCATGAAATAACTTATCCCTTCAAGATGTACGTTTTTAATATTCACATTTAATCTTTCCGTTTCTCAGGCATCAAACATCCCTACGGCCAGTTATGGAGTTAAAGAATATTCTGATATTGCAAGCAGGTTGCATTATTCCAAATAAATAGTTTTTGAATCGACCAACGATCAATCATCTTACCTTGAGCTTTTCTTCCCCAAGAAACGATTTTAAGCTCTGCATGAAGACAGATGAACCAGTCAAACTACAAAATGTAGCAATGCAATAATAGAATTACAATAGAAGGGAAAGAATCAAGGGCTATTTTTGTGACAATGCAGTACACTGAAAATGCACAAGAAACCATTTTTAAGGCTAAAAGTAGATGCTCTATGTAAAAGAAAAGGCATTGACATTTCATAGAAACAGATGTAACAAATTGAATTTCAGAAACATGTTTGTGGCCGTAGAACATATGAATTTTTCCTTACCTTCACCATTTAATACTCAAAGGGAGAAAAAATAATATGGTCTCTTCTTTTTTGGCTTATACTCACATCTTCCTCCTCCCCCTCATTGAGGAGTTTCTATCTTTAGCTTATTGGTTACATATCAATTAAAAAGAATAATTTTCCACTAAAAGCAGTGACAGGACAAATATTCCAACATCTTTGTTTCATGGACTTTACAAACTGATTTGGGTCTCAGATGATACCTGTGTTCCGATTACCGTGCCATTTTTGTAAGCCACAAGGCCATTCTCAGCGAACACATAGTCATAATCATTAATGGCTGCACATACAAAGAACAAATAATATCTTTAGAAAGTTAAGCTTACAGAAGCTGTAATGTTGATCTAAAAACTCTCAGAGAGCAAATTTTACATCCTTCAAAACTTCTTCAAACGAAAAAGAAACAAAAGTAACCACTTTCAAAAATTGTACAATAAATAAGTTTAGACACAGACAGCGTAAAGCGTGATAATACAGGAAGTTGTCCAAACATATTCTATACTTATAAAAGAGTTTTCTCAAATCCAAAAAATATATAAATTCATCTTTATTTCGTATCAAAATGACATAACCTTTTAGATAGGCTCCTCATTCGCATCCTATTAGTTCTTTTCTTATTTCTTTTTAAGGTTGGCACGATTTATAGAATACCTTTGGTATTTAAACAAGTAGGATGTAGGTGCCATGACAAACAAATAACATCCGTAACACCAAAAAATATAGGAAATAGGTCATCATACTAGGAAAACAAATGATATGTATCATAAAACTCATTGTTACAAGATCCAGATTCCAGATTCATTAAATAAATTAATCGAGCATTTAAAATCAGAATGAAGATGGAGTAGACCTGATTTTCCAAGCTGCTCTGATATCTTAACCAGGTCAGAACCTCCAACTACACCAATTGTCATAACCTGCTAAGGAAAATCTGTAGCTTGAATCATCTTATTTTTTTGAAAGCCTCATAAAATTACTCTTCATCGAGAAGATCTATGACCACAAAAAGAAAAATAGAATATGTAAGAGTACCTTTCTGAGCTCCCTCAAGAATTCCAACATCTTAGGAGTAGCCACCTGCCACAATTAAGTTGAAAACATTGAGAATAGCAGGTAAAAAGCTCGCATTAATATGTATACCAAAAAAACTAACAAGACTGATTGTGCTAAAGATGCAGATTTTAGGATCATATTCAGAGAAATCATCTGTGAGAGTTAAGGATAACAACAAACATCATCCATCGATTAGTAATATCGGTTTAGTTTGATCAGAACATGAGATTTGCACAAGAACCCAATTCCAATTATGATTGCAACGCATTCTTCAGTTAGAGCCGTCCAATTCACCATTGGATACATGTAGGATTGGAATAATATAAATAAATGGCTGTAGCTGCCACGAATCCAACAAGAACAATTGCACACATAACCATAACTACCCCAAAACAAGAAAACACATTTTTAGTTACTTAAACCCAATAAATATACAACATAAAAGTCGAACACCCAGCATTCCAGGAAATCCTGCAATGCACCTTAAATAACAGCTAGATTGAAATCCCAAAAAGACCATATATATATACAGAACTTCAATACCTTTCGTGGTGCTGTAAGCGTGCCATCAACATCAAAAAGGGCAATTAAGCCAGGCCTCCTTGCAGCCATCACAAATTACCGATCTTCCCTTTTTTTACTGCAATCCTGTTTCAGGGTTCTATTAATTCCACCACTCAAAACACAAAGTAATAAGAAAGAATCTACTTCAGAATGCGGGGCAATTAGACGCACGATTCATTACTCATCTAGGTAAATAGAGCAAAATCTAAGTACAAAAGCACTTAGATCTCTTTGAATAAAAGTTTTATTCAATATACTAGTGGGGTATACTAGTGGGGTAAACGTGCGTTGCACGTTAATTGGTTAATGTTAAAAATAAGTAAATTTAAATTTTAGAGAAATTCATTTTTTTTATAATTGTGTGTGTCCGGACTAGCTTACAGACACCTCAACTAATTTCATAGGGCCCTGAAGTTTATAGTCGAATACTCATCTCAGTGGCCCTAAGGGAACTCGAACCGGTGATCACTGGGGAGTAAACCTAAGACCTAATAAATGAGCTACCCCTCAAGGTTAGAGAAATTCATTTTTAAACATAGAAGATTTTCATAAGTTGGTTAAAATTGACTTATTCTTTTCGTATATTTGTATATTTTATATTTTCAATATGAAATTTTGGTGTTCATTGTATTTAAATTCTCGTTGCGACCGTATTTTTTCGTATCATCGTGGCATATATTTCACTGTTGCATTACATATTAAATATGTTTTGAATACCAATCGATCTTCCAAAATTGCTATGTTAGGATCAAAGATTGTAGATTGCATCTTGTTTCCCTTTTTGGACAGGACCGACCGATCTTTCAAACTAACACTTGTAAAAAAAAAGTTAGAGATCAATGTACAAATCTACTGATGTTGAAGAATACCAATTCAATTAAAGATTTGTTGAGTTTGTTCGAATTGTGGAGCCATGTGATGCTTCAACTCAACCTACAACGAAATCTAAATAGCAGATGAATGCATGAAAATGAAATTTATGTTTGATTAAATAAATCAAAGAAAATTTTTTACATAAAGAATCCTAAGATTGATAAAAACAAACCAGTGAAAATTTTGAAAATAAGGAACCCTAAGATTGAGAGAGTGCCTTTATAGAGGAAGGAGACTTGAGAGATAAATGAGATTTTGTATATGAGAAATGAATTGAAGAAGTATGGGACTAAAATTCCAAATGGGTGTTATATAGATTCTTCCAGCTGATCTATAGATGGATTCTGTGCTCACATTCAAATGGGAAAAACAAAAACTCTAATAATCCAATTCAAATTTCAATGATGTTTATGACCATAGAGCACTAGTTTTCAGGCACTGGCACGAGGTCCCAAAGGCCAGAAATTTGCTCACCATCGGTTAATACTATAACTTGAATCTTATTCTCTAACCAAATTTTCAATGTCTCAAGAATCCTCTTGCAAATAAACAACCAATAATTAGTTAAAACTTTAAGAGTTCACCCATTTTCAAAATATTAACAAAAATAAAGTAAAATCACAAAAACATTTTCAAAATATTAACAAAACTAAAGTAAAATCACAAAAATTAAACCCAGTGACGGCCCTAAGACTCCGCTTTGATGAGGGCCCCAAATTATGTAAAGTTAATTGGTTGGTTGAAGAAAAATGAAAATTATATTTATGAAATTCTGAAAATAGAATTATCGTATGTAAACATAAGAAACTAATAAAAATTGAAAATCCAAAAATCTTTAAAAACTTATCACTTACATTTATTTATCGCAAATATTACTTTCCCTATTTATAATTAAGTTGACACTTTATCTTCCAAACATTCATTTTCTTTTTTTAACCAATCAAAATGTTTCTTTGTCTTCTCAAATTCCATATCCAACAGTTACCCATCATTGTTTTTTCAACCCAACAAGATATAAATTATTTCATTTTGAATTAAAATTTTGAAAATTCAATGCAATTTGATTTGATCTCAATGCTATTGTTACAACCTTACAAGTTTCTTTCTTTCTCTCTTATTTTCAAAACATATATTACAAAGTACATAGATTGTTATTATATTGTTTTGTTTTAATCTCATGATAATAATATTTTTAGATATTTGCTGAAAATACTTTGAATTTAATAATTCTTTGTTCTTGTTCATTCAGATATTTCTTATAAATTAATATAAAATTAGAAGCTCATTTATATTTGATCATCATTTTCATTGTTTTGTTACACTATCTTTTGTAGTCACATTCTCCAATTTTGTCCATAAATCATTCAAATGTATATTCAATTTTATTTGAAATAGTTGTATTGAGAAAATAATCATACAAACGAGCATGCCCCTTTGTCATTGTATTATAATTCTGCTTGTCAAACTTTACTTGTATTTTGTATTATGGTTGAAATTTGACATTTTGTTTATTTTCTTTTCAAATTTTGGGGCTTAGTTGTCTATGTTAGATTCTTTATAATTATATTAAGTCCCCGTTTGACATCAATTAAAATATATATTTTAATCTAAGTCAAAATTGACAATTAATTTTAACCACATATTTTATTAGTTCCAAAACTTTAAATCCACATATTCTATCTCTTTCTATCAAAATCTACTAAAAAATTGATTTTAAGGGTTGTTTGAGCCCCATTCTTCTAAAAAAAAATGCATTTTGAAATAATTTTACGATGGAGAAAGTGTGGTTAAAAAATAAGAAAAAAATTTGGATTTGTGTGTAATATTATTTTATTGAGAAATGTATGGTTGAAATGATATCAAATCACTGTTGTATAATGTATTTTGATGAAAAATGGGATTCAAACAAGGGCTTAATCTCCATCAAACAAACTAAAAATCTATACAACGAGAATCAAAATATAGGGCCCCAATTTGAATTGGCATAAGGTCCCCAAAATATCAGGGCCGGCTTTGATTAAACCGCAAGATTTGAGACTTCATCCATAGACTGCCTGAAAAAATTATCTCAAGCACCAAATCTTCTACATGCACTACAGTCAAGAACAGAACATGAATCTAAAGCAAGTGCATTTGCATTAGACAAGTCTTGGTTATTGTTTACTACACAGTGTTTAGATGACAGGTACGGTCATCTTTAGAGTAGCAAATGTCTAATGTAATTACATAGTAGTGCCAATTTACATTCTGCATCTCCAAGGTGGTATCATTATACACGCACATAAATAACCCTTCATTTCAAAATGAAAAAGGCACGGACTTTTGAGTTCACTATTACAATAATGTTGTGGATAAAGGATGCAAACAAGAGCAGTTAAGCAATCAACATCAGTCAGTAAGGAGTTACTACTGTAAAATTTCATATTGGCGCATGAGTGAATTGTTAGTTATGGTTGTGAATCGGGTCCTGAACGAAGATAAATTTATTGCTGGTCACTGAGGAGCTATTAGTTATAATCATATTATAACCATAGCTGATGACCGAAGTTATATAAATACATAACCTAGTCCTCTCTTCGACCATCCAAGAGAAATATGAAAATTCATCTAGTACAGTATACAACGAAGAAAAGGAAACGAAACAAGCTTCCTCTACAACTGATTCGCAATTATTTGGTCTCTCCAAAATAAAAGGGACAGGTATGTATGAAAAATAGACGATTCTTTTGGACTACTCCCAATAGATTTGAGCACCAAGTTTTAAATATTTAGGATAAGCTTTTGTCTCTTGGATATTTTTTTCTATTCTCTAGATATATAATATTTGTAGTAATCGTATCCCCAGTTAGACTGTAACCACGTAATTTCACTCAAAAACATATATTCAAAGTACCTTTTTTGCATTCATGGTATTAGAGCCAAGTTCTCGTTGAAATTAACATTGCATTGTATCGTACTTCACCTCTTCATATCTAATTATCATAACCCAAATACCAAACACAATCCTCTATAGCGAGTCAACTATCCACCTTATTCCTATTATTACTGAAAGAACATTCCTTTGTAAATAATAATTTGTAGTCCCAGCATCTCTACTATGGCTTAGTTCAAAAGATAAGTTACCTATACAAATGATGAAGATTATCTTTCTGAACCAAACTAAAAAAAAATGAAAAATAAAATATTAAATAAGACAAAGAAACACATCCTTAAATACCAACCAAGAAAGGGAGAGGGAAGGGAAGGATTTCAAAAATGAAACTCAAATTAATTGAATTTTAAATCCATTTTATGTGTCTTGGATCACTCTATCTTGCTAGGTGATTTAAAACTCCCACTGTACATAACGACAATGGAATACTTTGGATTGCCAAATTGAAATATACAAAGACCAAATCTTTCTATCCAAAACCTATCCTAACTGTTTTGGCACAAAGCTTGGAGCACATTTATAACTTGTAATTAAGCATAAAAGTTAGTCACACTGTAGACAAAATAATAATAATAACAATAATAATAATAATAATAATAATAATAATAATAATAATAAACAACAATAACAACAACAACAACATCCACGCATGAAATTTATAAGAGAAAGTGATAGAAGCTATTACCAGAAATGCTATGTTCGATCCACCAGAACCAGCCCAACAGTGTGAATATAAACGTCCTCCAAAAGTCTATAGATGGTACTCGATCGATCACAAGCTGAGCGGTATAACAACAAATATCAATTAAAAGATATTGAGATAATAATGTACACCAAAAAAAATACGATATGCATTGTTTGCCGTTTCTACTTCAACCGGAAATAGGCAGCAGACGAGATGTGAATTTCTATTATACCCTCCATATATTTTTTTTTTTTTCATATTAATAGATTTCATGTATTCAATTGGATCTTGCTTGAATTGGAGCTTTATAATTCAACCGAATTCTCTAGTTAAATGGAAATGTAAACATGAAATCGAATGCAATAAAGTTCCATTCTTTGTTTGTCTAATTCAAGGGGGAAGTGCCCATTTAAACATAACTTTTACCTTCCAAGGTCGGGAAGAAGAGATCATGGGTTTTTGGGCAGCTAAAAAAAATGCTAAGATGGTAGAACCGCGCTGCGCGGAGAGCTACCTGGTCTCGGAGAATTGCAATCGAAGATGATAATGAGATAGAGATGAAGGGTTTGGATCCGGTAAATTAGAGACTTTTAGAAACAACAATATAATGGATGCGAAATTAGAAGTCACGTTACCTTATTCTGGCAGGTGATTCAAAATTTGGCTGACAATTGCAATTTCCGGCGGACGAATTTCCACTCTTCGACAGATTCTGCTATCCCGGTTCTGAAAATCAATGGCAGATTCTTTGATGCTCCGTCTATTTGATTCTTTTGTGTGAGAGGACGTGGTGTGATCGATCTGAGAATAGGATATGAAACTGTGGATCTGATCTGAGGATTTTCTTTTCTTTTTATTTTTATCCAATATTATATTTGGTGGACAACGAGAAAGTTGATATTGGCATCGGGGATACACTGATACGACACCAACTGCACACGCTAGGGCCGTTTGAGCCCCATTATTTGTAGATTATAGTCCATATTTGATTTTCATTAAATTACATTTTATTATATTTTATTTTTTTTTCTTTTATTTTTAACCACACAGTTTTTCATAAAATAATATTACACGTAAATTAAAAAATTTTCCTTTTTTTTTAACCATTCATTTTTTCAACAAAACGTTATTCCCCCATTTTCATTACCAAAAATGGGGGCCAAACATGGGCTATAATGAGATGAATAATATTTTTTTTAAAAATGAGTTGTTGAAAAGTTTTTGATTTACGTGTAATATTATTTTATTGAAAATTGTGTGGTTAAAAATAGAAGAAAGAAAAATTTAATTTAATGTAATGAGAAATAATGGGGTTCAAACATTTTGCGCTAATTTTTTTCTTTTTCTTTTTCCTAATAATTTACTGTTTTACTTAATTCCTGTGGAAACTATTCAAACTATACATTGGGAATTTCAAATTTGTTTGTTAAAGTCAGAATTCTAAAAAGCTCACTTAGATGGTACCTTGAAACTCGGGCGAAATAATTCGCTTCACGTTTAGAAGCTTTATTTTTATTTATTTATTTATTTTTATCAATTTCTAAATGGTTGAAATTTTTCTTTCATCTTCCGTATAAACGCTTTATTATTATTTTTTAAAGTCTTTCATTTGAATTTAGCTTATTATTATTTTTAAAAAACAAAATTTCTCATTTGACTTTAATTTGAAGTTCTTAAAAGATTTTATCTGTACAAGAGTTAAAAATGAATTTATCTAAATAGTTAAATAAGATTTTTAAGTTATGATGTTATCTACATTGGGTAATTATGATCTTAAAACTCATTTTATTACAAACTTTAAAAGCATATATGAAGTTCTTATAAATCTATTTAGTATGACTTGTTTAATTAAAAATTGAAATTATCAAAAATATTCTAATTTTTGCATTTTGAAAACTTGAAAATTATATAATTAACTAATGGTAAGAGTTATTAAGTAAATGTTATATTATATAATTTTATATGTTTCATATGCATTATTTTTATTATTAAATAATTTTTAAAATGATTAAAATAATATTATAAATAACAAAACATTTTTTTACTCCTAGACTCGCAAAGCTTAAGGCCGTCGAAGCTTAAAAGCGTAACTAAGCGTGGAGCCAAAGCTTAAACTCGTCAAGCTCTACGAGTTTAGTCGAAGCTTAGACATAAAAAAAAAAAAGAAAAAGGGTTTTCATATTTATAATATTATTTTAAATTTCAATCATTTTAAAAATTAATTAATAATTAAAATAATACATATTAAACATCTAAAATTATAAAATATAATATTTATTTAACAACCCCGACTGTTAGTAAATTGTACAATTTTTAAGTTTTTGAAATACAAAAATTTAAAATATTTTTCATAATTTCAATTTTTAAGTAGACATGTCATACTTAATGGATATTTAGGAACTTCATTAATACTTTTGAAGCTTGTATTAAAATGAGTTTCAAGATCATAATTACATAATGTAAATAACACCAAAACAAAAGCCCCTGTTTGTTTTCCATTATTTGGTCATTAAAATGAAAAATATGATCTTTATCCATTACATGAAGACACTGTATTTGAATTTCTATTTTATGTGTGAGACTCGTAACGACTATATTTTTAATTCTCATTCTTACATTAATCAGAAACAAATGGGGACTAAATTTTATTTAATTATTTATTTAAATAAATTTATTTATAACTTTTGTACAGATAAAATCTTTTAAAAATTTGAGTCTCCGTTTGATCTCAATTTTTACCAAAAATGCATTTTATACATCACATTAATGTAGGACCATTTCAATATTATATCTTTTCATTTGAATTCAATTTATCCAAAATTTTGAATTCACCCTTTTGTCCTTATCAAAAGGATAGTACATGATAAACAAACAAAAGCCTTTGAATATTCAAAGGCTGCCATATAATTGATTACTTGACAACTCTTTTCAACCAATGAAATCTGGAAAAAGTGGAAAGACAAATACTACTACATTATTTTCTACCAGAACCGCACATGGCATCCACGTCTCACAACCTCGTGGTGCAAGTGCTCCATCCGATATTGTTGTACTACATCAAATGAGTTACACCACACAAATGCCATGAACGATAAATATAAAGGGCCGAGCATACGATCTACGAGACATTGAAAAAAAAAAGGAAAAAAGAGCACCAATTTTGAAATAACTTGTGAACATCTTAATACCACTTTCGCATCACCGCTGTTATGCCATATAATCCTGAAATTTGTCCCACTCACTTTGTTGCATTTTTGGTGCATTCACTTTGGCATGCATTTCATCTTCAGAGCCAGGTAGCTCCACCTCGACTGCATCTTCATCCGCCTCCGCTCTTGTGAACACCTCGTTCACCACTCCTGAATACCATAAGAAATTATGTATCCCCATCGTGACTATGCGTTGGGAAGGGATAGCTAGACACATGGGTGGAGGTAGTGGGGGGGCATGCTGGGCTGTAGCCCAGCACTACTCCCCAGCCCATATAAATAATTAAGAAGAAAGTGTAGAGTTTTTGTCCAAATGTTAGCATTAGTCCACTACTCCCCAACCCATATAAAAAATTAAGAAGAAAGTGTAGAGTTTTGGCCCAAATATTAGCATTAGTCCAACTCTAGCTGGAATCTTAACCCAAGTCTAATGTTCAATTATTTAAATTGTATAAAAACACTAATTATTAATTACTCGTTTCATGAAATTCATAAAATGTGAATATTTTATTGTCAAATTAGATATTCTATTTAATGTATGTTTGACTAAAATTTACTTATAATTATTAAGTAAATTTTATTGTAGATAATTTGTATTGATTAAATTTAAAAGTAAATTACTTATTTTAATAGTTAGAGACACTACATATTTTTAAAAATTTAAAAGTAATTATTATTTTTTATTTCTGCGTTTGTTTTTATTTATTATTTATTCATATTTATTTAAAAAAATTACTTATTTTGACCATAAAATAGATATTATGATTAAAATAAATAACTTACTATAGATTTGATATTGACAATAAAAGAATATTTGATAAAATTTATCTATTAATGAAATAATATAGATACGAGTATATTCTTGAAATCGAGCAGAAAATGGACGTGAATTAAATTTAATTTCTTTAACCCTTGAAATTCATAGTTGGCTTTTTTTACTTTGATTGAGATTCTTCACTCACTTTGAAATGCAATAATATAGAAGATCGATGAAAACGCCAAATAACATTTTGAGACAATAACATATGGATTATAGTGATATATTATTGATTGCATGTTTCAATCAAGTTTCAGTTGTACAGAAAGATTGGTTGTAAAAGTTATTAGAAGAGTACTTATTCAGCATTTTTAAAATTTTTCATTTGTTTATTTCTATCATGATTCAGTTAATTTATATTTTTTAAAGTAAGCGTTTGGTAAAAAAATACAAAGATTTAGTAAAATATATTAATGTGAGACATCTAAACTTTTGTTTTTTTCATTAAGTATCGTATACTTTTTATTGTGAATGCCACAAGAATAGCCTCCGAAACCGATTTCTTGTGGCGTAAGTTCATTAAAAAAAATTTAAGTTTCAGCCCATTCTAACATCGTTTTCTGGCTCCGCCCCTGGCTAGACATAGATTTAGGATTTTCCATCTCTGTTTTCACACACTGAATGCACGTACTATGACGCTCCTGTATGACGAATGTCTGAAGTTAAACTTCTCTTGAGAATTACAAAATCTATGATGACGTCCTGTTCGTTTGTCGCGAAAACTACTGAAAATGGTACAATATATCTAAACATTTGTATGGGGACTTATACCCAGAGCGATGAGCAAACCCGAAGTCGGCCAAATAGTACTTCACCGGTGCCGACAATGAAAAATGCATTTTCGAATAGTGGATAGCACGCGCAAGTATTCGCGCATCATGCGTATTCCTGGTGGTTCCTACCAGCATGAACGTGAAGTATAAATTAAAATCACATGCGGCCAACACATTTTGGGTCGGCACTCCTTTTCGTCCAATGAAGTTGAAATGCTCGTGATGCGATAGCACAGCTTTCCCATGCATTCCATCAATAGCATCGATGTTGTCTCGAATAGTGGATGCTTGTTCAAGTAGGGCTTGTGAGGCTCAACACTATCGTTATAGTTCAGACTCGATCGAAGTAGATGAGTCGAAAATGCCACGACTGCACGTAGAACCTTTTTCACGTAGTGACATACGATTTGCAGCGAATGATTGAATATTGTTGTCACATAGCAATTTCCCTTCCCGTGCACTAATATGCACAGGAACATGCCATCTTGCTCGTAGATGTCAACTGGCTACTACGTAGTGCATGCTTGTAACGCAAAATATGTGCAAAATATCATAGCATTGTTAGATACATACAAAATTCTTGATATCAGATCTGTCCATTCCTGCCCATTACCTCCATCATAATATATGAGACTGTTTCTTGAGAATGAAAACCGTTAGATACGAAGCCGTTGTCTACGATAGTAATTACTTGCCTCGCTCTTGGCAATTCTGCAGTATGTAACCTTTGCTGTTACATCGGTTGCCAAATGGTTGAAGAATTGCTCTTCCTCACAATCGTTTTTCAAGTCGGAGCTAGTAGTAGGATGCAGTTAAAGTTCAGCACATCCATTATGCAATAGATGTGGAATAAATTAAATTCAAAAGCCAAGAAATGTGATGAAGCTACAGAGAATAAAGTTTCCTCATACAACCTTACAGCTCCACATATTTCTTTTCATCATCCAGTACATAAAATTTATAAAAAGTGCACATGATTGGTACACCATCCTGTACACTGATTGACTCTTCCTTGCAAGTTGCACCATGCAACAACAGTAGTGCATCCATCCATAATTACACGTGAAGTATGCATTTTTGTATAAACGATTGAACCCAGAAGAAATCCTTACAG